GCCTTAATGCAAGCTGCTGGAACTTCACGCACCGTAAATAAAAATTCGAGTAATGACATTAGTGAGAATTATGCTTGGTTAGGTCAACGAGCAATTCTTGCCGCAAAGAATAATGATGTACACGCCCTGAATTTCACCATTCAATCAAAAATTGCTGGCGATTTGGTGACATACCAATGATTCTGACTGGTCTTCCGTTTGACTTCAAACGATTGCAATATCCAGTTCGCCTTGCGTTCGAAATAACATGCCGCAAGTCCAATCGCTTAGTGTTTGCGGGATAAATTTCAAATAGATTATTTAGAAAATCATTGTTTTTCACATGGGCAGTTATACGTTGGCTGTTTTATACAATACGATAGTAAAAAAAAAACCACTACTGCGGTTCTAAGTTTACGAACATCAGCGACTCTGGAATCACAGCCAACGAATCGCAGGAAGCGGCCTGCCAACGCATCACACAAAATCTTACGTAGTGGCACTGGCAACACACACTGAATGCAACGAATCGAATCTAACAACACACCGTATGCAACGGTTCGAATCTGGCTGAACAACAAAATGCAAAGCGCGACCCTGTGCAGCATCACAAAACTCTGGGCAGCACCACAAAACTAGCCAGCGGGACTATGGTAACACCGCAAAACACACGGAGCGACTCTTGACATCCGAAACGCATAGTCAAGCATAACGCCAAATCGCGGCACCGTTTGCACACCATTCGCGTTGTGAAATACCTCAAATCGTATTGTGCAACTGGCAATTCTGGTAAAATTGTAATTCAAACGAAACTGAAAACCAGGGCTTCTTACACATTTGTCTTTCGCGACCCGATTTATGATTGCGAGTTTCTTGACTAATATTTTTAGATGAAAAAACTAATATTTTTAGATGATCTATTTATTAGATAACATATTCACATATACATATTAAAATATGTGGTTTCAGAATTTGTTGTAACACAAAAATCTAGGAGTGGATGTTATAAAATGATATACGAGTACAGTAAACCCTCGCTTTATGCGACAAGTGCGTACCGAGCAGTATGGGGACCGTGCTATAAATAACTCGTATTTAACATACAATACAGGCTAATTCGTAGTGCGTTCTATAGAACCTTACATAGTGCAGTATGGGAACCGTGCTATGAGAGACTCAGAGTTGGTACAAATCGCACCATTTTTATCGTGCTGTATGGAGACCAAAAAAATACAATTTCAAGTAGGAGTAATACGGACGAAAAGACATGTATTACATTGACACCTCATTCAAAAATTGGCGCGATGCAGTAGTCAGCTCAAACGTGTTCCTAGGCAGCTATTATATAATCAGGCATGCCTAAAAGATAAAAGTCGAGAACAAAACTTACATTAATGCCCTTTTGATATCAAGTTACTAAAGTCACTCATACGTTGCACAACGAACTTATGGGCTGTTGACCAAATACCGTGTAGTCGGAAGGATGTCGGATTTTTAGCTCCGTGTAGTATGGGAACCGTGTACACAGAGTGCCGTGTAAAGCGAGGGTCTACTGTACTGTCAACCTTCGGTTAACACAGCACTCTGGGTGAACGGTTCCCATACTACGCGGAGCTAAAAATCCGACATCCCTCCGGCTACGCGGACTTTCTATTACACGGTTTTTGTTCAACAGCCCATAAGTTCCTTGCCCAACCTATGAGTGATTATAGGAACTTGAAATCAAAAGGGTATTAATGTAAGTTTTGTTATCGACTTTTATCTTTTAGACATGCCTGATTATATAATAGCTGTCTACGAACACAAGAATCACCGCCAAATATCATAATAAGTTCACTCTATATTCTATAAAGAATTGAACGACAATAAGTTCATTTCATTCATCAAAGTTATTAATACTCCAATATTTATTTCATGTACATCATAAGTTTACTTTTTTCCTGTATTATTTAAATTATTCTTTAGAAAAAAGAGTAAAAATGAAACTGACCATTATTCATTGTAATGCCTAAAAGCCTAAATAAACAAATCTAATTGTGTGCATTCTAAATCCCCAAACTATAATGCGCATTAAAAATAAATAATATAATCGATTATAGAAGAACGTGCAAGAGACTTGTTTTATTCCAGAATAACCCTCCATGCACTAAATAAATGTATACAACAGCCCATCAACACAACATGTGTTATGTATTTATCATAACTTCGATTATTAGCAACAAAAACAACTAGTTGTGGACTTCATGATATATTATAAATAATCGATTGAATCAATAATATTTTTTCAATTTTCATATATAATATACTATTCTGCATGTCCTCTCCATATTAATTCCCGTCTACCTATTTACATGCCCACCTGCCTACTTGTTTACCTGCTTACCTACCAATTAGTTTCAGTCTACCAGTCTATCTATCTACATGTCTTCTTTTCTACTTTTTAATCCGATACTTATTTACAGTCGGTCAAGTAAGAGCGTGGCCGGTATAATTTATAAAAATAATTATTTTATGAAATTTTAATATTTATATATGCATTGTATACGTTACAAGCAATGATGCAATTTGGTCAATATGTGTCCAGTCACCACCGGAGTCGACAATTATTTTAGTTTGACGGCTCGTATTTTAATTTAACGGCTCGATGAGGGCAGTACAAGCTCATATAGAACTTTCGTCAGTGAAAATGACATTTTCAAAATCTCTAGCAGTATTTTCATGTGCCCAAGCGGAAAAGAAGCACATGTTTTTCAGTCGTCAGAGGCTTCCCCGTTGTGTTGCGCCATTTCAGATCATGAATACGAAGACAGGTTCAGATAGTTTTGTAGATATTTTTGTAGATATTTCAAAACATTTTGCCATTAATTTTGCTCGTCCTTTCTGCAGTGTTAAAGCAAGATACCGCAAAAACACATTCACTGTTCTTTTTTCTTCTTTTTTATTTGAACCACGTTCTGATAAATCATCGCCATTTTTAGCAACTTTATATAGGTGTATCGAATTCTGTACAAATGGCTTCAACTTTTTCATATGTTTAGCAGCAGCTGATTGCGACAATTCGGGATCATTTGGGTGGATCCAAAAGAGCGCAGCCTCGTAGCCCGACGCGTAACTTAGCACTCATGGCGTTTAACGTAATTTTTTCTCAAAAGATCAACTGCAACTAAACCTTTTTTGACAATGCATCAAGGACAAAACTTCATTTTATCGGCTCACGAAAGAATTAGACCGAAATCTTTCATTAACTGTCGTTAAAGTCGGCCACGCTCTTACTTGACTGACTGTACATGTCTATTTTCATATCTGTCTACCTATTTACGAATCATTCTATTTGCATATGAATCAATATAATAATGATTTGTAAAGATCATATTGTCAATATTTTCCGCATCTGCAAATGTTTAAAATTCCCGTCTACCTGTTTACATGCCCACTTGCCTACTTGTTCACCAGCTTACCCCTACCAATTAGTTTCAGCCTACCAGTCTATCTATCTACATATTTCCTTTTCTACTTTTTAATCTGATACTTATTTACATGTCTATTTTTATATCTGTCTACCTATTTACGAATCATTCTATTTGAATATGAATCAATATAATAATGATTTGTAAAGATCATATTTAACCAATAAATGTCAATATTTTTCCGCATCTGCAAATGTTTAAAATATTTATTTTAAACATTCAAATCGGATGCTCAATTTTCTTAAAAACGGTCATTTTTGCTCTATATCTCACAAACGGGAGAGCCTGCTGAAAACTAATAATCGCCGTCAAGACGAATTGAATGCCTTCAATCTAATCAAATGCTGCTCCGTTCTCGCAAAAACTGAATTCCCATTTTCAACACTTTTTACGCGTATTGTATCTCCGAAACGGCTGGTCCTGTCTTTGCCAAAAACTAGTCTCCCCATCAATAGAAATCAAATGTTTTTTTTTATATATTCAAATAGGTTGATTTTCATGCGCCCAAAATCATGGACAAAAAATTGTATATCCATACAAAGCACAGACACACATGCCATACATCCATACATCCATTATTTTCTATGGAATGCCAAAATGTTCAGAAACAAAGCAACGTGTCGCTCCTAGTGTATTCGAGTGAGAGAGAGGCGTAACGTAAAGTTATGGCGGTGCCAATGAAACAGATTCATCAAATAGCGATTGTAAAAAAGATTTTCGTCACATTTATCTATCATACAAATATAAAAAGTAAATTATTATTAAGTTAAAAAATTCAATTCATTAATTTTAATGTTTCTTTTTTTTGACTTTGTATACACGCAGCACATTAGTCATATACATTCTGTAAGTTAACTTTACAATTATATTTTATTAGATTGTATATAATTATATAGCGCACCATATTTTTTTTTTGTCACCAATGAGATTTTAATGTTATGCATTTGTTTTTGCAATGTGGAACAAAGGTGAAAAGTTTGTGGATAAAAATTACCCAAAAAAAAATGCAGCTGATCGAGCATCAGAGTTGAACTCATTTTCGCAATATTATAACAAATTGAAAAAAAAAAGCTCATTGGATAGTTTTTTTAAACTCAAAAACTAGTAGAATGATAATTTAGTCATTTTTTATTTCTGCAGAGTATATATTCGATCTTAGCAATAAATGTTATTTTTACTAAAAACGGTACGCTTAACGAAACAAATTAATTGCATTTCAATGTATTTATATGGGAAAAATTGCTTCGAAATACGTACAATTCGACATGCGAGCGTGCTTACAGAACGAATCAAGCTCGTAAGGCATGGTACCACCGTATATATAATGTATTTAGGTAAGATGTTTAACTACTGATTTATAACGAGGTAATGATAAAAATTCTATAAGAATTTTAATTTTTTTTTTCTCCAAAATGTTCAGTTAATAAATTATCTAACCCCCTCCCATTTTACAAGTGAGTTTATTAATAATTCTACACAAAACCATTTGTAAATTATAAAAACATAATAAATAAAAAGTGGTGAACTTCTTGAATAAAAATATACATTTCTTACCTTTGACATTTACTGAAGTCAACTCCTGTATAACCACAAAATTTACATAAAGCTAACATGCCTTCAATATATTTTGGTGGATCCTCTTTCGGTGGCTCAGGCGATTTGCATATCTCAGGAACCTTTTCCGGTGAATTAATTTCTGGCTGCGAATGGTGTGGCTGGGTTTCGAATAATACTCAAAATCAGTTATATATATTTAAAACAATAGTACTATGAATAAATCATATCTATATATATATATATATATATATATATATATATATATATATAAATATATATATGTATATATATATATATATATATATTTCAAAGTAACTAGCAGCCCATTCGTCAAATAAAAAAGTAATAAAGTATTTAAGAACTTTTATTTTACGTTTCGACACCAGATGCGTGTCATCATTCAGCAACTACAATAATTTGAAAATTTTCAGTAATAATAAAGAACAATTATAAACTAATTAAAAACAGAGAAACACTATACATACCATCAGGACAAAAACACTTAAAAAAATATTTTTTTAAAAAAATTAAACTTGTATCAATTTGAGGACATTTTTTTTTTTAGGAAAAAGTAATGAAGAACTACAACATTAAAAACATTTTGAAAACAGTTTTGCACTTACAACATTATGACGCATTAAACACGCTCATATCAAGCAAACAACTCTACTGTACTGTTAACAGAGGTGTGTGTTTAATAGCGTAGGGTAGGGGAAGGTAACGAAGACAAATGCAGACAGAGTGGTTGAAATGGATTTGGAGTCAAAGAGGAAACAACAAAACATATAATAGTTTGAACAGAAACCAAAATTGTAAAAAATTATAAAAGGAGATGGAAAATTAATTATAAGTTTTTTTTTGATAAAATCAATAATTAACTGGTAACTATCATGTAGTAAATGGTATGAATTGCGTTTATTAACACAAGAGAAATTTAATGAAATAAGAAAGGATTCTGCAAATTTTCTGAGGTCACTATTTTTTTCGATATAAAGAATAACCCGATGTGAAGTGTTAAAAGTGTGATTGAGTTGAGCATATAATCCGATAGCATCGTTTTGAACTGGTTTGGGTTTTTTGAATTATAAATATGTTGATTAACTCTCTTATACATATACTAGGAACTTTCCCCAATGTAACACATATTGCAATCATTGCAATCCAACCTGTAAACAGAATAGGTAACTCTATCAGACGAGGTTCTAGACTTAAGAACAGAAAAAAAGGCAATTAAAAGTATTATCGAAACTAAAAACTAAACGGAATCCTTCTGAAGAAAATAACTTTTTTTAGAAATAAGAAAAATTGTTCAAAAACGGTAAACAAATAATTCCTTTGTATTGGGTGGAAGAAGAAGCAATTGAGTTTGAACAAGAAAGTGAAAATAAATTATTAAAATCAGTTCGTAAATAATTTAATCTATTATTAATGATGTTGTTGACCAAGTGTGAAGGACAACTATTATCTTTGAGAACAGTACGAATAAAGGTCAACTTTTTTTTCCAAAACATACTGTTGCTCAGTAATATAGCCCTGTCTATAAGAGAGATAATAACAGAAATTTTTATGGAACGCGAATAAAAAGAAAAATTCATCCCATTTACTACATGATAGTTACCTACATAGTAAAGTCGTTTGCTTGATATGGCGTGTTTATGCGTCATAATGTTACAGTGCAAAATGTTTTTAATATTGTAGTTACTCATTATTTTTTCCTAAAAAAAATGTCTTTAATATGTTACAAGTTTAATTTTTTTAAAAAAATATTTTTTTAAGTGTTTTTGTCCTGTTGGTATGTATAATGTTTCTCTATGTTTTTAATTAGTTTATAATTGTTTTTTATTATTAGTAAAATTTTTCAAATTATTGTAGTTGCTGAATGATGACATGCATCTGGTGTCGAAACGTAAAATAAAAGTTCTTAAATACTTTATTACTTTTTTATTCGACGAATGGGCTGCTAGTTACTTTGAAATATGTTTCAATGTCGCAAAAACTATCAAGATATATATATATATATATATATATATATATATATATATGTATATATATATATATAGTTAAAAAGTCAATAGTGAATAATAAATAATGAATGAATTATATATATAAATATGATTATATGAATTAGTATTTCACCCACACGTGCGCTACATTTACCAAAACGGCATGGTAAATGTGAGTTGAACTCGCATTTTCCAAATGAGCCAGTAAATGTGCACATTGGAAAAGAAAAAGTAGATAGATAAGATATGAAAAGAAGAAGACCTGAGAAAAATGGGTAAAATAGAACTCTACGGAGCACAATTATTAACAGAAAAGAAAAGGAAATTGGATAGAACCCATTCTGCAAGAATGGGTGCCTTCTATATGTCAAATGTAAAAAAGAATGACTAATCTCACACCATTTACTAAAAAATAGAAGAACAATAATAAAAAAAAAACTTACCACCTCTACATTTCCAACGGTGACAATGTAATCAATGTCAGTTCCAGGGTTCATTACGCACTGTATATCAGTATTGGGTGAGTAAGGAATACCAACCTGTTTAAATAAAATGTAAAATCTTCATATGTTTGCAACTCATATATAAGAAAGTTCATATTATAATTGCTTTATATACTTTTGGTAAAAATGATTGTGTAGCTAAAATACATATACTTTAAGTTGTTATTCAAAATTGAGGCAAATAAAATAAATGATAACAATAGTAAGGATTGTTGATAAGATTGATGAGAATATCAATTTTAAAGTAGATATTAAATATCTCTACGAAGGTAGTTCTTAATTGAAGATACCTGGTCTAACAGATCTTGAACAGCACATGTCTCTTTAGGTAAAGTAAAAGTTATCAATCTTTGTTCTCTACTCTGCAGAATGACCAGCATTCTTGCAGTGTCTCTGCGAGGTTCATTTTGTTGCTGAGCTAATTGCTGCTGTTGCTGCTGAATGTTATTATCCTGAGTTTCTGTAAGAAGAATAATCGCTTATTTTGATAGATAATGTTCAGTAAGTAATTTCTAAATTATACAAAAACTAACAAAATTGTAGCCACATTGCGCAAGTTTAAAAATTCCAATTATTAAAACTTTAAATGTATTCAGGCACTGCAATAAATAAGTATAGACATTCAGCTTTGCTACTTATTAATTTATAAAGAATGAAAAATCAGTAAATACAAGATAAAAACATTAAACCACATGGATATATAAAGCACATGAATAAGTTTACCCTGGTCTTGTTTTGCTAGGTCATGGAATGACGTATACGCATTTTGATGTGTACTTTTTTTAGTAGTTTTAGGTCTGGAACAATTTTTAGGCATTCTAGCTTCCGGTCTGAAATAGATAAAATAATAATCACACAATAATAATTGATAAAAAAAATGAATACATTGCCAGTAAATGAATATTTGCATAAAACAAATTTTGAATTGTAATTTATAATTTATCATTTTTGCAGTATGACATGTATATGCAACATATATATGCACCTACAACAAATACTTTCTTTGATATACCCACAATCATGTTATTTGCTATTCTTACAAACTATTGATTTTCTTCACATCTTATTATAACAGTTTATAAATAAATAAATAAAACAAGATATATTGACAGTGACAATTATGAAAATAAATATATAGAATGTATTCATAGAAAAACGAGTTTGGCAGTTGCTGGAAACACACAGGATATTCGATCAAACACATTTTATATACATTTGCAATATATTGATAGCATGAAAACTTTTCTGATCAACAAAGCTGGAATAGATATCACACTGTAGAAGGCAAAAAAAAAATATTGTCACATTAAAAGGATCAAGCTAATTCACCAGCCTCTGGCCAGAGAAAAAGTATTTACAATATCAGTTAAGTTTTTCTTTTATAAATGGCATTAATACTATTACAATATAAATAATATTTACCTTTGTTGACAAGAATTTGGAGTGTTAACGTTAGTACTGGCAGTATCTGCATTATTCAGTTGTCTGTTGATGACCTGTTGACTATTTCCAGGAACTTTCTGAACAACTGCGGCAGTTATGCTATCTTCAAGATCAAGATCATTCAATTGATTTTCAGGTGTATTTCGTGACTGTTTCACTTGAATCACTAACTAAAAATTTCATTATTGAATTAGTACTACATTGCATTACAATTACATTCATAATTATTATGAACTATAAATATCTTCAATATTGCTTTCATACTAATTTATAGTAATCAGAGCATAGTAAACTACATAAGCTTATTCTTTACTACACAAGTTTACTAAACCCCCAATTACTAACACAAAATAAAATAATAGAAAGTAAAAATTTCATGTAACTGAGGTATATTCATACCTGATGTGACTCATTCTTTGCAGGAGAAACAACTTGTTTCTTCACAGTAGCTTGAGGAGCACGTATCTGTTTAAAATATGTTTGTGAAGGTGGTGTTATATTCCTCAGTCTGACACCTAAAATCACAAAAAAAACATTTTGAAAAAAAAAAAAACTTAAAATTACATTACAAGTTCTATCGTTTTAACAATATTAAGAATAAAGAAAAAAATATTTGATTTGAAAGTAAAATGCCTATATCAAACAAATAAATGACAACAAATGTACAAATCAGTATGAACTACCTGAAAAACAAAAAACTAAAGAGCACGCAACTTAATAATACAATTAATAAATCTAAATCTAAATTAAGTGACCCCACATCTGATCTTTGTTTAAATATGCATGAATTGATTGAACCGTAAAAATAAAAGTGAAGCTCTAAACCTACAATACATACAATTGTTGTTGCTAGGGGTGGTAGGCCTGAGCTTATTCTGCATATTATGATTCTGTTGTGCTTGACAGCCATGAGGAGCTCGTTGTTGTGTTAAAACCTGCCCAGGCATTGATATGAGTCCAGGTGATGCCATTATCATTCTTGGCTGCTTTAATAATCATTAATAGATAATTCTCATTTCTATCTATGTTTTATATATGCCTAATGCAAGATGATGTGTACCTGATGTGTTGTTTGTTGTGTCAATGAATGATGCTGAACAAACTGAACTGAGCTATCCATCAACCTTGCTGAGTGTAGTGGTGAAGTTTGTGAATCTCTCATTTCTTGTTGTGAAATATGCTCCACAACATGGTCTGGTTGATTCTGAACCTCATTGGCATTGTGATTAAATTCTACAGTCACTGCCTGAGGAACATTTATTGGCACCGGCTTGTAAGCAACAGTGGATGGCTGTTCATATATAATTCTTGTTGGCTGCGGATCAGGCTGATACACACGCTAAAATAAAATAGCAATACATTAACTGACCAAAATTTTAATTTAAATAGTGTGTATGTATGTCATCAACTGAATGTCTTGTCTTGACCGAATATTTATCAAAATTGAACGAGTTTTGAGAACAAATTTAACATTTTTTTTATTTCCTATCATCAAAATCAAACTTGAAGAATTAAAAACCTATACAATTTCATTTGTGAATATTAGACAATAAACAACAAAGGATTTATAGGCTTTCAAATGATGAAATGCTGTGTCAAATGATGAAATTAAAAACTAATTTAACATTGTCCTGCATTAATGAATAAATAATTAATTAACATTTGTTATAATGAATTTTTTTTATGAAAACCACATTGAACACAATCATACATTTTTATCCTGATAACTTCTTATGTTATTTCAAAATGCAAGATTGAGAAAACGACTATGTATGCAGATTACAGACATCAATAAAAGGTCTCATTAAGAAATAAAATAATCAGCACATCAAAAGCTAGAATGTATAATAAAAAATATAACTATACAAGTGTATGGAAATGTTTATTCCGAGTTAATAATGAGGCAGAAGTATGAAAATTTGTATATAAATTTTGTTCAAAAAGACTTATAATAAAGCTTCTCAAACTATTTGGGGTCGCATAGAAAAATTATGGGGTTGCGAGAAATTTTAATGTCAAATACATACAGTCAATCCTCGGTTAACGAGGCAAGTCCATACCGTGCAGTATGGGAACCGTGCTATAAAAAACTCATGTTTAACATACTATTCAGGCTAATTTGTAGTGCGTTCTATGGAAACTTATATAGTGCAGTATGTGAACCATTCTATGAGAGACTCCGAGTTAGTAGAAATCACACCGTTTGTATCGTGTTGTATGAAGAACAAGAAATACAACTTGAAGTTGTATACTTGAGTAATGTACAACAAATTGACATGTATGACATAGTCAACTCATTGAAAAATTGGCGCGACGCAGTAGTCAGTTCAATTATAAGTCGATAACAAAACTTGATTAATACCCTTTTGATATCAAGTTCCTATAATATTTATAGGTTGCGGCGCAAGGAACTTATGGGCTGTTGAACAAAATCTGTGTAATAGCAAGTCTGTGTAGTCGGAGGAATGTCGGATTTTTAGCTCCGCGTAGTGTGGAAACCGCGCAACCCGAGTGCCGTGATAACTGAGGGTTGAGTGTATATCATTTAATAACATCACGTCTAGATTTTTTATGTTTTACAACAAATTCTAAAACTATATATTTTCATATGTATATATGTATATTGTTACATAATAAATACATTATCTAAAAAAATTAATTTTTCTTTCTTTTATATCTGTATGAGGTCGTCAAGAAACTCGCAATCATAAATAGGGTCATCAAAAAACTCAGAATCATAAATGGGGTCACAAATGACAAAAGTTTAAGAAGCCCCGGCTTAAAGAAATAATTGATTTTGTACAAAGAGAGATGAGAGTAAAAGTATGTAATAAATATTTAAAAATATATATTTAGTGACTTTTACTTTGAACAAACACATTCATATCAAATAATAACTTACAATTGGCTGCCGCTGTTGTGTATTGTTGATATGTTCTTGAGATTGCTGTTGAGTTAGTATTTGCTGTGTGCCCCTCTGAACTAATAGTGCCTGATGTGGAAACACAATTCCTTGCATCACATGATGATTTGTATGTTGTTCAGATGTTGCAATATGCTGCTGCACTATGTGATGTTGTACTCTTTGCTGCTGTTGATTTTGTTGATGTAACACTATTCGCTCTATGTTTTCTTCTTGATTGGTGTACTGAATCTATTGAAATAATTAACTAATCATGCATATAGAAGTCAAAAATATATAATTTAACATGATCATTTACAATCATCAAAATTATGTCTCAAAGAATTAAAAATGGCACTTGGCATAACTCAAACTTTATACCACAACAATGATATTAACAATCTAACAAAACATAGAAGGAAAGTTACACCAGTTTACACAAATGTTACTTAAATCAAATAAGCACTATTACTTAAGATAAAGTGAACTCATGGATTTGTTTACCAGTTCCTGTTATAGTACCACTAAACTTGAAAAAAAAAAATTACAAGGGCCCCCTCACATTCACTAATATAAAACAAAAGTAGGAAATAGACTAATTACGTTAAATTATTAAAAAAATATATAAACACTCAGTTTCATGAAATTATATATTTTGAACAACCAAAAAATTAAATGGAATGGAAAATAAAATAAAAAAATTAAATAAATATATTTATTACAGTATTACAGCATAAATATATTGATTATATTTGGAAAAACTAACAGTTTTTAGTTCCATCATTTTTATATATCTATGTCAAATTCATTATTATTAGTTTAAGTTATAAGATAACTGAGTAATTTGTATCCTAAGAAAGCTTCCTAATACTCAGACACAACTTGTACAAATACAAAAAACCCACCTGCCGAACAGCATGAAAATTGTCAGAGTTTCTTTCAATAAAATTTTGTACATGTGCTGTTCGTTGAACACCTTCAGCATTATAACGAGCTTGATCTACTATTACTTGGGATGATTCAGAATTAACTATATTAGTATCTTGAGCAAGAATTATCTGTAAACAAACATAGATTGACCAATATATCAAATATTTGATTTGAAACATAAATAAGTCTTAAAATAGAACAAGGAACCCCACTTTAAGAAAATAATTTTTAGGATCTCATTATAAAATAAAATGCTATTCAGCACATCAAAAGCCAGAATGTGAAACAAAAAATATAACTATGCAAGTAGATGCAAATGTTTATTACTACAAAAATTCTAGCTTGTTTCAAGCTCATGTAGATAGCAATAATTTGCCCACATAATTAATAAGACACTAAAATATTTATGAATTCTTTAAATTTGCACAATAATGTTAAGGTGCTTGACTTTTTAATCGTATTCGATTAAAAATAAATCAGAATTCAATTCATATTATTGGTAATTATTTCAAAATAGTTTTGTTTATTAAATTTATATAAGAACTTTAGCATAATTAATTTCATATGATTAGTGAGAAGAAGGTGAGAGTCCAAAATGATATCAGTTCTCTGCACATACCTGGGGACGTAAGAACTGCTGGTCCTCAGAGTTAATAACATACTGTACATGCGGAGCATCGAGACAAGGTGTATTAGAATAATATTGCTTGAACTCATCTGCAGTCACACTTTGCTCTGTTGGGGGTTTTACCATTTGAAAATAATTATTCTCCATTTAGAAGTCGATAAATTCGGAGCGCAATAGTTGAAAAACACTCAATCCTACGTGATGATAACCTTAATCCATCAAAATGTACCATTCTTGAGAACGACTATAAACAATGTCAATAGATCATTTCAGCATTTATGCAGTAATATATATACACACACACGTATATATATATATATATATATATATATATATATATATAATTTATAACAAAACAATATAAAAATAAAATAAAATTGATTCTAATTATTATGCTTTAGCAGGTAAATAATGTCGGATGACACTGTATAATTGTTTATTGTTTCTCAATTGAGCACTTAAATTATTAGCACAATTTTGAAGCATTGAATACTTTTATTAAAATTGTTTATGGGAGTAAAACTATCTAAATGTGGTTCCTTGATCAAAACCACGTAAGATTTGTCCGCTATTTCTTCCCCGGTATAATAAATCTTTCATAGGCAACACACAAATTTAGGCTCAGACGAATAACTCACATATTAAATAATCCTCATAATTATTTCGCCTAACACCTTCCTCAACATTTCTAAAAATGTTCACTACTAACAACACTGTATTATAATATTAATACAGCATGATGGCGTGCAGTGCAACCCGTAGCCGACAGGGTGACAACTTTCAAGAGCAAAATTTATAGTGGCATTTATGATTTCTCATTTCAGACATTTTGCACGAATTCAATTTATTTATCTGTTCGCAATTCAAAACTAAACATAATTCAGAAGAAAAATATAACTTTTGTTAATATTACCACAATTTGAAAATAATACTGTTCTACGTACCTTATATAAATAAATGCAAAAGCTAATGTATGAATTATTACGAATATATATGATTATTTTATTTTATGAATTTAATAAATGCTTTATTTTATTAATAAAACAATATTTATTAAAATATGAATATAATATATAATTCAGTATTATTATAAAAAAATATAGCGAGTAAACATTTAAAAAATTGTAATTAATATTTGAAGAACTAAACTCACCAACTCTAAAATAGACGTTAACTAACAATAAGTAGAGATTATTTATCTATGTGAAAGCAATTCAACATGTACTTAAGCTCACCGCCCGACGCCTTAGCTTTTTAAAATAGCTTTGAAATTTTTTGAAAACTTTGAAAAATGAGATTTTTGAGAATTTTGAAATTTTTGAAAAATTTGATTTTATGAAATTTTTTTTTATATATATATTGAAATTTTTTGATAGTTTTTAACATTTTTTCAAAGCAATCGTGCTGCATGTTTGTTTTACAGAAGATATATCGAAGCGCGTAAACGCCGCGTCAGTCTAAACTTCTAAAGGATAACATTAGTACGGAACCCGTAGAAATACAAACAAAAATAATTATTATTAAAATCAGTCCAGCAGTTTTAGAGATTCAAAGCAAAGAGTGCAAAAAATGGCAATTTTTGATAGAACCGTTGTCTTTGGTTGAACTATTAAAAATAATTAATTTTGATTCAAATTAGACATGTGAAGAAGACAGATTGACAAGATGAGAGGTAGACATGCAGATGGGTAGAAATGTAGACAGGTAGACTGGAAAATGGGTTAACAGGCAGGCAGGTTCAAAAGTAGGCAGGTAGACACTTAGATAAGTGGTCACATAAACACGTTAAAAAATAAACTGACAGATAGATCATAAAAAGATCAAATATTTATTGATTAAATCGATTGTTCATACATTTAGGGAAGTTCATTCAACATGCCTTAAGGTTATATACAGTTAGGATTAAATGCCAAAGCCTATTATTTAAATTATAATAATTTTAATTATGCTTATTCTCTACATTTTAATTTAATTTAAGTAAATTTAAATGTTTACGTTATTTTTATCATTTACACTTTTGCTTGAAGAATTGATTTAGAAAAAAAAAATCTTTGAATTTGCCGCTGAAGCCAGGTGAAGCAGTGTCGAAATGTCGAGGTGCAATTCTAGAATAAATACTACGTCTAACCTTTTAAAGATGTCCGCTCCAAATATTCCAGAATACCATTACTGTATTTTTTAATTTTAAACTTTTTTTAAAAATAAAAATATAAAATTAATTTATTGGCTTTTCATATTCTATATTTATTATTACTATTATTTTTAAATAACCAAGTTCAAGTCATTGTAAAACTTTGCACATTTAATATTCATTTTCAACGTTTATATTTGGTTTCTTTCATATGTGATATATTTAATTACTAATTTAATAAATTAAAACGCAATTGATGTTAAAATTGCTGCTAAATTCTTTGTTTATTTTAGTTTTTTTTGTATCGGACATAGATCATTTCAATTTACGTAGAAAGAAAAGATATTGAAAACGATCAGGATTTCAAGATGACCTACTTGATCTATACTTTTTTTTCAGCATAAAGTTTCAGAGGAGAGGAGTGATAAGATATGTCTATTTCATAAAAATAGTAGAAGTTGAGCTACAAAATGTACTATACAGTTAACTTAGATGTTTTAAAAATGATAAAAATGGATAGTTTTCTTAATTAAAGAAAAATCATACTTATATCATTAAAATAATTTAAAAATATATATAATTTATACTGTATAATATATAATATATAAGAGCCTGAAATAATATTTATTATTATTGATTATGGCATGCTTATGAATAAATAAAATAAATAAATAAAAATATATCGTTTGCCAAGACGTTAATTTGTTAACTTCCTTTAGGTTATTCCTGCAGGTTATAGTAATCGCATATAAAAATCGAAAATATTTTTTTTTATATATCTTTACGTTTCAAAGATTTCTAAATATTTTGGCATACTTTAAAAAAATGGATGTATGTGTGTGTGTGTGCGGATACAAATTTTCGGACGATGACGGAAACACGGGTCATTGTTATATTGTTATTGTCATTGATAAGGAGACGTGCTGATTAATTTTTGGCAAAGATAAAAAAACTTTTTGCCCCAAAAGACTTTTGTGAAAAATGCCATTTGGCGGACAAAAATGATAATTAGACATATGCACATCAAATTATCACATATTTTATAAATATTTTAATAATAAGAACAAAATTTGTTTACTTTTCTATGGGTACCGATGTTTATCCGTTATACTGAAACGCGGCACCCACGCGCATCGATATTTCGTTTCAATGCAGCTAACGTATCATAATTGCTTTGAAAAAAAGTTAAAAATTTTCAAAATATTTCAAAGTATGAAAAAAATCAAATTTTTCAAAAAGGACAATTTTTTCAAAAATTTTAAAGATCTCAAAAATCCATTTTTTTCAGTTCTAAAAAAAATTGAATCTTTTTTCAAAAATTTTATAAATCTCAAAAATCGATTTTTTTCACAGTTCTAAAAAAAATTGATTTTTAAAAAAAGAATAATTTTTGGCACGGGAAGTTTCAGCAATTTGCCTTAAGGCATGATGCAATGCACGACTAGTTAGAAAAATAATTAATATTTTAGCATTGACACTCGATTTTATAAACAAGGTACAGATTAAAAACAACCAATTTGGTGACAGGCTTGGAATTATGGGGCCAATTCTCTGATAAGTACACCGTTATGCAAACGCTATGTCAAACACGAACTGTCAAAATGTTATGTATTTGTTGTGCGATCAGGCGTTTTACACATAAAAACTAAGTTCACATATGTGCTATCAATGCACATAAGAAAAATGCAGTTTGTGCGTTTTTAGGTTTTTACTATCAATTTATGTGAAGAAAGGACCGAAACATAGCGCTACCATAACAACGGTCTATATTATTGGAAAATTGGCCCCTATGTGTTAAATTTCGTCCGTCACAAATTTAAGTCTCCTTCTAGCACAATTCAAAATCTATATTCAAAACTAATTTTCCGATAGAATTTTAATATTCTTTTAACCGTGAAGGTATTAGCTATTAATTTCTAGCTATTAATCGTGAGTTTTCTGAAAATAGTTTGTACTAAAGTAGTGAATCTGCTAGAATCCATCAAAATATCTATAATGAAGTGAATTCTAGATGGAATGTGAATTACTTTAATTCTGGTGGAAATGGCGCTCATTAAACCATATGATTTGAAAGAAAAACTAGCTGTAAGTGGAATTCTGTCTTAAGGCAATTAGGGCATCGTGCCTTAAGGCAAATTGCTGGAACTTCCCGTACCGAAAATTATTATTTTTTTAAAAACGATTAACATTTTTGAAAAAATTAGATTTTTGAGAAACCATAAATTTGACAAAAAATTACTTTTTTTTGAAAATGAAAATTTTTTTTTTTGAAAACGAAAAATTTTTTTGAAAAGAAAATTTTTTTCTTCATTTTGGAAATTCTGAACTTTCTTTCAAAGCAATCGTACTGCTTGAACTGCATAGAGACGAAATGTCACAGCGCAAGTGCCGCGCCGCCGTCTAACGCATAAGCATTGGTACGGAACCCATAGAAATGTAAAAAAAAATTATACTTATTGTTAAAATCTCTATAAAATATCTGATAATTTGATGTGCATATGTTGATCATGTTTAACCGCCGAATGGCATTTTTTTTTACTTTTTTCATTAGATCTCCGAAACCGCTAGACCTGCCTTCATGAAAATTTGATGAATTCTTCATCTTGTCAATACAAGTAAAATGCTTTTTGAATTATTCAAGGACGCTCCGTTCTCTTAAAACCTGAGTTACCGTTTTCGGCACTTTTTGCCCCGTATCTTCGGAACGGCTAGACCTGCCTTTGCCAAAAACTAATCAGCACGTCTCCTTATCAATACAAATCGAATATTTTTTGAATTATTCAAATCGGTTGATCCGTGTTCCCGAAATCGTCGACGAAAATTTGTATTCGCACACACATACACACACGTACATACATACATACACACACACACACACATACATCCATTTTTTCCAAGGTATGCCAAAATGTTAAGAAACCTCTGAAACGTAAAGATATATAAAAATTTTCATTTTTGATTTTTTTGCGATTACTATAACTTGCCCTACGGGAAGTTAAAAACTTCGAATATGCTTCTTATTTGCATGATAGCTCACTCATTTTACATGCAAAAAACTTGTAACAGCACTCATTTTAAAGCTTATGTTGAGCACTATAAAATCCAATTTCACCGAAATGCATAAAATGTAAAACCTTGACACTAGATGGCTTTAAATACAACACTTAAATCTTGAACGAAATAAAAAACGACTTTGCTCTTTCAAATCTTGCTTAATTTTTTTCCTAGAACACTTTATGTAACACCGATTTATTAAGATTTTTATTGAAATTATTTTGTTCATTACATGATTTTCGTTAAAATGTATATTTTAGGAGATATTTGCAAAAAAACGAAGGAAAACGCCAAAAATATATGAATCTTTAGTGGCCAGTAACTTGAAAAGTATTAGTTTTTTTGAAAAACTATAAGAGACATTTTTTTCTTATAATTAGTTCTTATATCGATTTCCGACGTTATTTTGAAAAAATGTAATTACACAATTGAGAAGGGGTGTCATCCCCCCGGGGAGAGATTGCGCAACCCAAATTGTTTTCACTTTTGAACTTGAGGGTAAGATGAACCTAATTCTAAAATTTCATTCAATTTGGAGCACAGTAAAAA